TATGGGTAACTGTTTAGATAAATAAACGGTTATGGGTATAACCGTTTACCCCCGAAATTTAAATGAGCGGTTATGGATATTAACCACGGTTATAAATGGGTAACCGTTTACCTATTTATTTTATATATGTAAAATTAACAAAAACCATGTTCCCTATCAGACAAAACTTAGATGAATGCTATTGACTATAGTGCATGATTTATGTAGCATAAAACCTATATGATGTGCTCAATAACTTATATTTCTATTGCTCCAATTTTTAATACAAGCCTACAAAGCATAAAACCTTTTTGGCAAGCCACACACTGTTTGGCACTTGCCAACATGCATCATTTTATTTTTTTACACTATGCTAATTACAAGTGCATATTGATTATGTCTGTAACATATATATGCTTATATGCCGAGACATAGCCACCACGGTTTTACATGAAATATCGTCCGTAAACTATTATTTCAATTATTGGAAAAGTATAAGAACTTAAAAAATTAAAATACGGAAATGTGTGATGAATATACCTATAACGGTGTTTAATTGTCAAAAAGAAAACAATTTTTTTTTAAAATTTTCAAGTTGTTAAAAAACATGTAGACGGGTGAAAAAGGGGAAATGGTAAAAAAAAAAAAAAAAAAAAAAAAAAAAGATAAACGGGTTAAAAATGGTAAATGGGTAAATGGGTATTAAACGGTTACAGTTAAATGAGTATGCGGTTATGGGTATGGTTAACCGTTTATAAACGGTTATGGGTATGGGTATAACTGTTTAGGCAATTACCCAACGGGTAAACGGTTATGCGGGTATGAAAACAGTTATAGGTAAATAACTGCTGTTACCCGCCCGCCATAACCGGTGCCCATCCCTAGTTGGAACGCTTGTGTTTTGAAACTCCCTCCATGAATTTGAACAGCTTCAGATTACTATCACCTTCCCACTTTTCTTCCTGCATAATAAGATCAAAACTTTGCTTGTCCACTTCCAAAAATTCAGTAAAACGGCATTAAATGCAGAAGAAGCCAAACTTTGAGAAATCGATAAGTACCTGAACGGAAAAAAAACATAGCTGCCGAGATAAACATAAAAAAATATATATAAAATGTGAAACAGTATAAACTCTGATGGGAAGAAATAGAAAGGACTTGGATTGTCTGCCATCCCATTTTGGTGCCTTCCCCGTGCTCTTCTGTTTTGTGTGGTCGCGGTTAAGTCACGTCAATATTTTATATTGTTTTTTTATAAAAATAATAAAACAAAAAGAAATAATAATATAAGATGTTGACGTGGCTTAATCGTGACCACATAAATAGGAGGGTAAACCTGGCATTCGTGTCGTGTTTTCCGTGTTCGTGTCGTTTTCGTGTCATACCCGATATCTTAACGGGTCGTGTCGTGTAACACCCGTTAAAATAAACAGGTAAAATGACCCGACCCGAAATCGACCCGATAATATTAACAGGTAATATGACCCGACCCGTTACCCGTTAAGGAAAATATATTTTAAACCAATAAATAATCAAATGAAAAACATAATACTAAATAAGTATATACATTCCATATTATCACATCCAAAACATAAAAACGCAATTTTGTTTTAAGTATATTTTCGCTTACCTAAAGTCTTTAATAGTTTTTTAATTAATGTAGAAGTGTAAAAAAATATAGAAAAAATATATAAACACTCGTAATAACAAGCTTTTTTCAACGATCCAACCGTCAAACTTATTTGTACACATTCCAAGATTGCATACGTAAAAAATTGTAAAAAAACAAACATTCAAATATTACGTAACGGAACAAAAGTTATCGACGGTTATAAACAAAAAATCACAATTTAACGGTTATTTTAGCTCCGATTTTGATGATTTTTTACAGATACACTCCTCGACCCTATAAGAATGTAATGAATAAATTTGATCTTTAATTTAAAGTATTTACACTAGTAGATACCACAAAAACTTATTTTATACTTAATAGAAGTATAATATTAACTCTAAGTGTTTGTTTAATCTACTGTTTTGACGCAATATGCATTCTACCAAACTTTTTTCAACGATCCAACCGTCAAACTTATTTGTACACATTCTGAGATCGCATACATAAAAAATCGTAAAAAACAAACATTCAGAGATTACGTAACGGAACAAAAGTTTTCGACGGTTATAAACGAAAAATCACAATTTAACGGTTATTTTAGCTCCGATTTTGATGATTTTTTACAGATACACTCCTCGACCCTATAAGAATGTAATGAATAAATATGATCTTTAATTTAAAGTATTTACACTAATGGATACCACAAAATCTTTTTTTATACTTAATAGAAGTATAATATTAACTTTTAGTGTTTGTTTAATCTACTATTTTGACGCAATATGCATTCTACGAAACTTTTTTTAACGATCCAACCGTCAAAATTATTTGTACACATTCCAAGATTTCATACGTAAAAAATCGTAAAAAAGAAACATTCAGAGATTACGTAACGGAACAAAAGTTATCAACGGTTATAAACAAAAAATCACAATTTAACGGTTATTTTAGCTCCGATTTTGATGATTTTTTACAGATACACTCCTCCACCCTATATGAATGTAATGAATAAATTTGATCTTTAATTTAAAGTATTTACACTAGTGGATACCACAAAAACTTATTTTATACTTAATAGAAGTATAATATTAACTCTAAGTGTTTGTTTAATCTACCGTTTTGATGCAATATGCATTCTACGAAACTTTTTTCAACGATCCAACCGTCAAACTTATTTGTACACATTCCGAGATTGCAAACGTAAAAAATGGTAAAAAACAAACATTCAGAGATTACGTAACGGAACAAAAGTTTTCGACGGTTATAAACGAAAAATCACAAGTATTTACATTTTGATGATTTTTTACATATACACTCCTCGACCCTATAAGAATGTAATGAATAAATTTGATCTTTAATTTAAAGTATTTACATTTTTTATATATGAGTGATTGTATATATATTTTTTTACATTTTTTACACTTCTACAATAATTATTATTAATTTTATTAATTTTGCCCTCAAATAAAAAACATTATTCATGAGGGTTTGAAGGATTTTAAAAATCTAAACGATAATATAAGTGTAACAATTATCTATTCGTGAAGGAATAATGATAAATCACGAGTGTTTATATATTCTTTCACATTTTTCATACTTGTATGTATGTCTTCTTAGTTCTTGCATATACAAATACTATACTAGTATATTTTAATTTTGGACAAGAATATGTTATGTAAAATTTATCCTAGTAATGATAATAAGGAACTCTCATAATAAAAATAAATAATGACTAAACCTTTTTTTTATTTTTTTATAATTTATATAGAACAATAATACAAAACTATATATTTAATATAGAATATATTGTATATATTAATATGACTATTGTATTTTATAATAAATCTTTTAGTAATTAAACTTTAAAATTATTAAAATAATTTTTTTCTTAACGGGTCGAAACGGGTTACCCACGTGTTACCCGCGTGTATACCTGTTAAGAACCTGTTATTAACGGGTTCTTAACGGGTCACCCGATAGTGACCCGATAAGTTATCGTGTTGACCCGAAACCAGTTATTTTCGTGTCGTTTTCGTGTCGTGTCAAAAACTGCCAGGTCTAAGTATTAGTAAGATTATATTTTCCAATGAAATTAGATAAAAGGAATAACTTGAGCAGCAACTAGCAATCTAGTTCAAAACCAAGAGAGTGTGGGGCGCCAAAACCTAGAAGAAATACATACAGGGTTGGGATTTGGACCCCATCCAGATCCTCACATCCTATTCATTTATTGTACATTGTGCGGTTATAAGTCATTTTGAATTTTTTTATTTAAAATTAAACACAAATAGTATTTAACAAAAGTTAACCACTCGATATACAATAAATGGATATAATGTGAGGAACGCTAGAATCCTCACAAACAACAACAACAACAAAAATAAAAAATAAAAACCCGGAGAGGAACATCACAAAGAGGACCTAGAGAGGATCCTCATCCGGGTACAAGGAACGGCAACAAAACCAAATGTAGTTTTGTTTTAGGTCAAGCCAATGAGGCATCGTCCCAATTCTAAACCTGGTTTAGGGGGCTGCCTTTTCTTCTTCTAATCCTGCCTCTCATTTTACGGACAATATTTTCCATTTTAAAATACAATGGCATGGCCAAAAATAAACACCCAGCTAAAGCCCACAAATAATATACATAACTTGGGACTTGGGATCCGGCTTCAGTACCACTAAGTGCTCCGAATGTTTAAGCCGTTAAATTTAATTTCTATAACTATTCGATTTTATATTTTCAATCCCTTTCATTCAATATTTATATCACTCAGTGTTAAGGCCCATTCATTAAAAAAGAAGTGCACATCATTCAATACACCAAACGTAAAAAGTCATTCAATGCACATTAACTAATTGTCGATTAACGTGCTTGTATAAGATTCCGTTGGTGTTGGGTCGAGACATTGTCCACACATCAACCCTGCCCTGCCCTCCCCTTGCTTAGGTTAGCCTAGGTCGGAAAGTAGGGTAAAACAATGAATTAGGATTAAGATATATTTAAGATTCGATTCCTTCAATGTAATTGTCTATCCATCACAAATCACGTTTATAGTATCTTGATTAGGTATGACGAAGGCCTAAATGGTGAATTCACAACTGAATTTCACACTGATTACTTTCATTTTCTCCACTCATTTTCTCCACAACTTTTTACCACCGAGAGTGTCGTTGGCGTAAATAGTCCCTAATGGCGAATTCACAACCGAGCAGCAGCAAAAGGGTTATAAAACATGCCGACCCTTTACAGCGTACCATATACGTGTTGTGCATCATAATTCATAAAACATATGACATACAGACGACCACGCCTAAGGCGTTTTGCATGTGTTTGTGCCTTTTGTACATTTACTGTATCTCGTGATTCGTGAATACTGACTACGAGTAATGCTAAGAAGCAATGCACACCATGTTTTCAAGAAACTGTTAGCCCCTTCATCCTGTTCTCATTTCATAACTAGCAATAAACATTCACGAGACAGCCAAACATCAAAATGCACACAAAGTACTTTGATCCCTAGTTAAAGAAGACAGCAGTTAATGTTACGTACAATGATTATCTAGCATGAACAGTCAAAACAAGCCTCCTTACAGATCCCGGAATGCGTACTAGTACTCCACTGAATGCTTTGCAACTTCAGCCTGCATACAGGATTTAGAAATGTAAATGCACTCATCGTTGTACTCCTAGGTACGCAATTCACGACACATTTGATATTACTTAACAGCCTTATAAAACGAATCATATCCTTTCACATGAACCTCATATGCTTTCAGATATTTCATAAGAAAAACGAGAACATAGTAAGCCCCTCGTATTTATGCCTTAGTTTGTTCTAAAATATTTGAGAACTTATGTCGAACATGATAGCAATTTCATAATCTTATACTCTCAGCTGCGTGATATCAATCATTGTCCTCTAGACTTATGATTAGATAAACATGATAGTAAGTTCATTTGACATACGGTCCAAATTAAACTACCATGACACTGAAGTCCACACCAATTATTAAACGAAAAGGGCTCCATAGTAGCACAATGTTAAAAATCTCATAAATGCTATAGGTAAAGGTAAATTTCAAATCTCGAAAGCATTCCCAATGCCTTTATTTAGTTGGACCAACACTAGGTGAGAGTTTTACTAAAGCAAGCGTTGAGAAGGAGAAGCATCAAAAAGCGATACCTCAAAACCGTTCTTCAAATGGTCAAATTCCTTGTCAAGATCATTAATAGCCTGGTTGTATGCCTGCATTGGTGAAGACTGGCTGCTTGTGTGAATCTACATAAACACCATTTACTGGTTCAGGTCACAACCACAACATTATATGAGCACTTCTACATCTCATTTCATGATTAGCATTTTTCCTTTCTCTCTTTTTTTTTTTTTTTTTTTTTTTTTTTTTTTTTTGGCAGAGGATAAATAATCATAGAGAATTAAATTGGGAAAACTAACCCTGACAATAATCTTGTACTGAAGGGGGTGAGGAAGCTTGTAGCCGGCAAACAAAACATTCTCGTCCCTGTGTAGCTGCCTGAATGTCGCAATTTTCAAAAGGAATTATTAAATAGGGTTTGGTTAAGCTTATACAATTGATCTAAGAATGACAAAATGTTTAAAAACAAAATAGAACTTGAAATAAAGGAATAGGCCTGCATACATGCGGAGGATGTTGCCAATGGTGTGGTCCTCTCTCTCAATTGTAAATGATGCTGCATTTATGATTTTCGTGTCCCTCTCATACGACACCCTGCAAATAGGAAGAAAAAAAAATTAGGATTCAAAATTTATACTAAAAAGGAGCTAAATTTTTTTCCAGAAAGTAGAATTACTTTTTTGTTCCCTCCGGAACGACAAACCGTTCATATCGGTCTGGGGCATTCATGGTAGTGTTTCCTTCTGTTTCTCACAGACTGAGGATCAGCTCTCTTCTCTTTCGTGGGGCGCAACTTACTGAATACAAAACAAGGACAATGTTTATAGAACTCTTTCCAGGGACTAAGAATGTGATAAAATATTAAGGCACAGATGATATACAGTTTGACTAACCACCTGCAGCTACTTATTGTATGCTATAATGAGATAGTTGTATACAGTATAAGCACCTCAAGAGATAAAAATACTCTCGATACCAAAGCGGGGGAAGCAAATATAGTTTGATTTCATATGTTAGTAGTGAATCAAGAGCTAGGGAAGAATGAAAGCGTGTCCAAATAATTTTTATAATAAAGAACTTGCAGTAATTAACATTGAACCGAGAGTATAAGCATAATATGGTAACCGTAATAATCCAAATTGCTGAGACAGCTAACTCGATCTCACTACTGAGTATGAAAGTCTCTACTTTAACAGTACATAAAAATAACACACAATGAGCACAAGTCCAAATAAGCCACAACCAGAAACACGTTCCTAATCTTATCATAGAACATTATGTTTAGTATCCATAAAGTCTGGTTAGAGTTTGCCTTACAAATTTAAAATAAACTAAAAATGAAGCTTTTATGGAGTTTCTAAAGAAAATTTTGCATTTATGTTCTCTTGAATATGTTTTCTGCCCATTCATCTTTTCACTGCTTCATGCCATATCAAATTCATTGTATAACAACAGAGAAGCGGGATTTTCATGTGCCCAAAAAATTGAATCTCCAAGTAAAAAGAAATACCATTATCCATCTGCATTTCCCAGTATTTTACTTGCAATCACAATCGGCCTCTTGGCCTTCCATGGCTCCTAAACCCTCTAAACCCTAAGACCCCTAATCCCCACAATCCCTCTTGGGGAGAACAGCCACCCACCCTCCTCCACTAACAAAGTGAAGGTGATGTGCCGCAATGGTGAAAAAAAACCGCCGAATAGCCAACCCAGAAACCGGAACATCGACCAAAGCCAAAACAATCCAAACAATCAGAAAAATTAAATTCTTCATTCCAATCTTAACAACAATCAGATAGCTCCAAAAAAACAAAAAAAAATCAGCAAGAAATAAAAAAAATTCCGGAGAAATCGACAGGCAACTCGCATGAAGGAGAGAAACAGAACGAGGGAGAGCACTTACGATCTTGCTATGCTGACGAGCGAGGAAGAAGCGGGATACAGTGAGAGAGAGATGCTTGGTTGCCCGAACTTTTGTATTCCAGACCTGGCCTGTTTGTTTGGAACCTATATTCTTTTTTTTTTTTAATACAACAGTATATTTACATCAGGATGTGATATCCACACACCTTTTTTTTACTTCTCACACATCCTTCTAATTTTCAACCTTCGGATCGAATGAATTGAAGAAGATTAACGGACAGAAATTAATAAAGAATGTGTGAGAAATAAAAAAGGGTGTGTGGATAGCACACTCCTACATCAAAAAGTAGGGTGCACTAATTCAATATTAAACGCGTTATTTATGATATTCGAACATATGGATGGCAGAGGATACATATCCAAGGACGTGTTTGACATCCGTCTTGGATTTAATTTTTTATTTTAAAACTAGTCAGCGACTCAGTATGCAATTTGGGTCAAGCAGATGGCTCTGATTTTGCACCATCAATGAACTGTTTGAACCTGATTTTGCACCATCGGTCCTCGTAATTTTGGGCGTTTCGGTACAGGGCTGGGCTGCTTGGAGGTGAAAGCAAACCAGGTAGACAGGAATGCAAACAAATAAAGAGAAACGAATGCCACCGTGGATTAGTGGGTTGAACCACGGTCTAGTAATTTACTTTTCATCTTTACGTATTCCTCTATTAGCACCAGGTGTGACGGACGCGGCCACACAGTGTCACATTCGTAATATAATATCTGCGGGCAAAGGGAACTGGCTGATATTTCATTAATCCAAGGTGTAGTATTATAAAATAGAAAATTTGAATTAGGTTAATAATATACATGTGTTACAATATGAGTGAATTGCCAACAACACATGACATTACGTTCGACGCTCAATAACTTCCCCTTGTAATGAAGTTGAACAAGTACAAACTTGAACTGCAACCAATAAAATTAAGACATGGTAAATGAATATACAACAAATATAGATACCTAACTTGTTCTGGTAGGAAATTCTCCGACCTGCATTTGCCCGACTTCTACTTCGGGTTATGAATTATACCGACTTACAAAACACAATCCAAAGTGGTTGTTGGATTTGAGTTGGTTGCCACCAACCAAATGCAAAGTGCATATGTTTTCACTTCAATTACATGAATGTGGGAGGCCCCGGGTCTAAGCTAGTGAGTCTGCTTGGCTATGGCCACGGCAGAGTGAAATCTTCCATAGCCTCTCTTAGCCTGGAAGGGGTTGATAACTATGATTTACCACTAGTTGTCCCTAGAGAAAGAAAAAAAAATCATTCCTGAAAGAAAGCTTTTCTAGTGACTTTTCAGAATTTGCACACAACAAAAAGGCGAAGGAAAAAAAACAAGAAAACGACCTCCTAATACAAATGATAGAGTTTAAAGTATTTCCAGTCTCCAAAATTTTTTAATATTATCCCAAGATAATAACTAAGAATAGCTCAAATTTCAGTTGGAAAATTTACAAATTTAGCTCCCCCGAATAGCCCCCGCCCCATAAACTATATCTACAAAATACATATTTTCAAAAAAAAGAAATGGATCTAGATACAAGGATCTCCAAATTTCTCTTCCACGAGAAACAAATAGCAACACAAGGAAGAATGGGGAAAACTCAGAGCACTTGGGAGCTTAGAACGTAAAGCACTTGAGTGTTTAATAATAATGATACCATCGTAGAAAAATAGGGTCTTACGTTAGAGACTGTACACCTTTTTCTGTATGAAGCATGCAGCTTTCATGAATCAGATCTGTCAACCTCTGCTGGCAAGTTTAGATCAAAACCACCTCCAAGACCCTCCTTCCTAGCACGCTTCCGAGAGGAGCATCCGCTCTCATCTGAACTTCCAAAACCTGAAGCTTGTTCCAGTTCCGTCGATCCTCCTACATTAGAAGTGTATCAGTAAAATCTTACACATGTTAGCCTGAATTTTCTGTTTTGCATCCATCATGTTCTATACAAGAGACAATACTATGAAACTTTTCTTTAAACTGAACACGAAAGAAAAGAACCATCTATAGCTTGCACCCCCAACAAATTTCTTTAAAAACTACCAAGAACACATAATATTACACTGCTTTTCTTCATTGAAAAAATTAATGATGACTGCTGCAGACCAAGGTTTTATAAGTACAGTCTATCCAATTGAAAATTACAAAATCACAATGCCAAGACGATATGATGTGATGCTAGTAGGAAGAGCTACTGATAAAAGACAGGAAATATTTGATAACCGCTACCCACTGTAAAAAAAGGTCCAAGTTCTCATCTTTCTAAGGGGATTCCAATCAGATGTAAGTTTTCACTAATCTATACAACTACAAGAAAGGTGAAAGAAGCTGACCACAGAAGAAGCAAAAAAAGCGTTCAATTTTTTATATCAATTGGCCAGGTTAAAACATTACCTAAGCAGCAAAAAAACTGATCATAAAGCTAACATATAACCATTGCAAATAAGGGATGACTATTATATTGAGCTATAGCTAGATATACCAAAAACATTATCGACTGATGAAGATACATGCTCAAGTTGTATTGTGAATTATAAGTAAGAAGAGGCATAATCAAATATATAAGGGAACTTTAACGAAAAGCTCCCGGTACTGTTCACTTTAACAAAAAACCACATTTTTACACTAAAAAGTCAATTGTGGTACTATTCACTTTACCCTTTATTTTGTCCTTATCGTTAAAACTCAAAGTTTTCAAGCCCTTTTCATTAGTTTTCCTAATATATAATCTAAGATTGTTTAATGATCATAATAACTATAATAAAGTTTCAGCATGCAATTGAGCTCCTGAGTATACCGTAATAGCGACACATGAAAAGTTGACAGGTTCTACTAGCTCAGCTCAGATGTTTGAATATAACATATTAAATGGTATACAACCGAGTTTTTTTCTTTACAAATACCATAGTTTTAATTCTTTTTTGTTAATTAGGACATCGAGCGAGGCAGAAGAATTCATGGAATCTACTTTACCACTTGTACCACAATGCAATGCTGGACCTTTATCAGCATTATTGGCATTATTGGCATTATTGACCCAACTAACAGGAAGTTCTGATGCCTTCTCAATGCCCTTCGACTTGTAAGGTGCTATGTTGTGGATACCAAGTTGTAGAGAGCCCAATAAATCAGTCTCAATACAGTCATACCTGCATACAGTTTAAAAAACACGTGTTAATGACCATAACATGTATGCACAAACACATTCATAACTATGTGTTGTAGAGAGTTATGTCGAGATATTTTCAGACACTAACATTTTCTGACAGAGGGTATCCGTGATTGCTGAGAGATTGATCACTTGCATCCTTACATCCATAACTTCATTCTCATTATATTGATCAAAAGGTGACTCCAAAAACTTGGATAATTTCTCAACATTTTCCTCAAGTTGCTGCTGCTGATCCTCAAACAAATTTTGTTTTATTTCCCTTTCCTCCTCTGTCATCTCATCCTTAAACAGCTCTTCTCCAAACATATAAAAAGCAAATGGGTACGAATATGAAAGAACCCTCCTTGATCTGAAAAGTCTGGAGAGTCCATTGTTTACCCAGCTGAAATCTCTGAGATTTGAGTCCTTCTCCTCTGAAATTGACACCTTCTTTTGTATACTCTCCTTCAAGTTACTTTCAAGCTTAAAGGAATCAGTATGAGCTTTGTAACGGTTATGATAGTGCATATACCGGTAAAGATCCCGCTTTGCCCGCTCAGCATTTTTTTCTTTGTCTTCTTTGTACCGACCACAGCTATGACCTGCAATACTTGACCATGTATGGTCTCGACCAGTCGCTCCACCACATAGCCAACTGGCATCAAGAGTAAAGAACGTAGAAGTCAGTTTCAACCCTCCAAAAGCAGTCAATAGATATCAAACCCATAATGGAAATTTTTGCTCATTTTTGACATTTGTCAAGCCAGAATTAGCAAGGGCTTGCATCAAGTTACAAAGAACGTTAAAAGTACAAGAAAACAAGATAATACAAATACATCAACCGAAGGGAGCAAGATGAAGGGGAAAAAAAAGAACCCTCACCAAAATGCTTGTCCACAGATACAGCTCACAAGGTTGCAGCCACCATTCTTCTCCACAGGTTTGTGACATTTGGGACAAGGTTTTGTATGAACTGTGATCCAATTAACTGTCTCTGATTCATCACGGCACTTCTTGGCCCAAAGCTCCCACATTAAACATGAACATGGTGAATGAGCTTGTAATAAACAACTGAAACAAAATTGCAGACCACAAGAACATTCTATCTCACAAAACTGATCATCCTCCACGCGTATTGCATTCCCACAATGAGGAGTGCTCGGGCACCACTTAACCCTTTTATTGTCCTCAATATATGACTCAAGAAGAAAACGGTCAAATTTTTCAGCAAGCTGGGGATGCCTCTTACTGACTAGATTTCTGACAACAGCTTCATCACAAATGGCATTGCATTTGTGAGCCATGCACCTAATGCGCTTACTTTGACCCTCATTTATCTTTACAACGAAATGCTCTGTCCAGCCTAAATAAGATACAGAATGTTAAATTTACGACAGTAGCTACATGATAGAAAATAAGGCACGTGGCAAAAAAGACCTTATATGTATGCACATTTTACTTACTACATATGTATAATACACGATATAGAATAAATAAATAAAATAAAATAAAAAAAGCCATTTGATGAATTGCATACTAATAATTGTACAAATCCACTAAAAGAATAAACATGATAACATTCAGAAATGCAAAAAAAGTGTAGAGTACTTACAACTGTTGCAAAAGCAATGTCCACAATCCATTTTTGTCGTCTCATTACTAGGTACATCTTCTATACAAATAGCACACATTACTGGAGAATTGGGGGGCGATGGGTCAAGATCTTGATGATCAACAACAGTTACACCTGCTTCCGCAAACAACCAAGATTTTCCCTTCTCTACATACACCGCAAAAAGCTTCTCAACATCCCAGCGATGATGAATAAGTAAAGTCCTGGCATGGTGCTCCCTAAGGAATAGCAAGTCCATCACCCTGCGCAAATCCTCCTTCTGCAGAAAACACAGCCGAATTGAAACATTAATCTTAGACAGTGACGACAAATTAGCGAGGATTTCAAGCAGAGCAGTAAGGACTATTCTTTCCCTACCTGCGCAGTCAAAAGAGATTCTTTGGTGATCACCTGTAACCGTACACAAAAACCATCAAAATCCCAAATAAGTAAACAGAGCTAAAACTTATTTGAAAGAAATACGCAACAACAAAAATCATATGAAATATCGAAAAGAATACCAAAATTGTTAAGAAAGCGTTAAGTAACCCGAATTCCCATACACCCCACAACAAAAAAGGTAAGTCTTTCCAAATTGATACAAACAACATACATATTAATGCACGATGCACCCAAACAAAACAAGAAAAAAAAAATAAACACACAGATTACAGTTATACCATGAAATCCCATTAAATTAGGAATAAATAATCGAAATTAAACTCCTATTAATTGCTAGAAAGAGCTGAAAACCCAGAAAGCAATCGGAAAACCTTAGTAGTGGGCCCCTTGGGGAGAATCCACGGAAGATCAGAGTCTTCATTCTCGATGACGTCGAGAGAATCCTGATCGGAGTAATAGTACTCCTCGTCGCTGCCCAAGCAATCCTCCATCGATTATTTATCGCCCCCCAAGCAAGAAAATCGAAAACTTACTGTAAATTTTTTTTTGAAATCGACCCGAATAGGCAGTACGCGCATGCAGGGAATTCACGTAGGGACGAATTGGGGATTGGGTTTCTGCCCCGAGAGACGAGAGATTGAAGGATTGATTGAATTTTGAAGACGAGGGTTCCGTGAAAGGGAATGGTGGAGCTGGACGACGTCGTTTGAGCTGGTAGGGGAAGTTGGAGAGATGGATCTAGTTGAAGTGGTGGATTTTGGGTGTGCTTCTGCAGAGGATGGGTTGGGAAGAAGCTGAACTGGAAAGTCTGAATGAGAGAGAGATGATGCAACGGAGGAGGCCTCTTTGCTTTATGTTTCTCTCTCTCCACACAGACTTTGGCCATAAACAAAAAAGTATTTGAAATATTAGACGAAGAAATTTAAAATTATAATTTTAAAATAACGGAAATAAAAATATAAGAATTGTTGCAATTGTTGTAGCTTATTTAATTGAAAGAGGGGTGCGGCAATAGAAAAAAGGTAAAAGTAAGTGTACAGATTTATTATGTGTGTGTTATTCCCGCGTGGCTTTATTTACAGCGATAGAATAATCTATTTAGAATTTCAGTGGCACGCTCTCCTTTCCTAGTGAATGAAGATTTGGACATCTTCCCTTTCAAGCAGCATTCACAAGTACCCATTTGACCATTACCTAATGGGCGGAAATATTCATCTTTCGACATCTTACGAATTTTATCAAGGTTCACATGTCCACGTTTACAATGTCACATCTTTTCTTGGTAAACTTCTTCTCTTGCCCTTTTGGGTTTGAGGTATTCCTGCTTTTAATACAGTGCATCCTACTGCTATTCTCGAGGTGAAAAAGTCATTCGATCATGTTACCATGGGAGATAATACGACCGTTCAAGCATAAAGTACAACTCATTTTCTCAAACAATACTGAGTGCCCATCTCTCAAAAGCATAAAGATGGATATTAAGTTCTTTATACAAGAAGGAAAATATAAACAGTTTTTAAGTTCCAAGACTTCCCCTAGGGCAGTTTGAGCATGTAGGTGCCTACTACTTTTGCAGAGATTTTAGTGTATTCTCAACTTGCACAATCTTCTCCCATTGTGCAATGTTCTGCTCCCTGTTAGTCCCTGCAACAAATTGTAGATATGTTGACTAGCGCCTAAATAAAAAATCCAGGAATTGAAGCTCACTGTAAAAGCGCTCTCTATGACAAAAATAGTCTCTTCAAAAGTTCATGTCACAAGGCTCACAATAGGCACCTTATATTTCTTCTTCCAACAGTCATCATTTCCACAATGAAAGCATGTTCCTTTGGATTTTCTTGCCTTCTTATGCAAACTTTTCCTTGTGATTGCATTCTCATTCTCATTGTCACCTTTGAAACTTTGTTCAAACTCACAACACATGTCAATCATCTCAGAAAAAAGAATGGTTGAATCTATTTACTTCATAGTTTACAATAAACTTAGTGAAATCATCCGAGAGAGATGCAAGGAAAAAGTTTTGGGCCATTTTCCCATCGATGGGAGTTCCTAACCTCTCAAGATCTTGGAAGATCCTTTCCATCTTTTGTCCATGTTTTTGGACCGATGTCCCCTTTGCCATTTTGGCATTCAATAAACTACAAACATTTGAGAATCGTACATTACTAGTCTCAATGTCATGCATCTTACACAAACTATCAACCTTGGCACAAGAAGTGTCCATGTGCTTATGTAGCTTCTTAAGATCCTCACTAAGTTAAGTGAGGATTAAGCATTTGACTTGTAAGTCATCCTTATAGTGTCTGGCATAACTTTGACACTCCTTTGAAGCTAGTTTTATAGGAGGTACATGAGGAGGAGATTGCTTGAGCACATACAATATGTGATTCACCTTTGAGACATTCTCAATGTGATGATACCAAGCAAGGAAATTTGGCTTTAAGGCTCATTTTGTCAAGTATTGTGATAGGTGTAATTTTAGGCATGTCGTTTGTGAAGGAAAAATTTTGTCCTAGCTAAAAACATGTGAGAACATTTGAACACATATGCAAACTAATAACACTTTAAAGTAGGCATGCATTAAAAAACAATTCTAAAACCCATGACTTTCAAAGCCTAGTGAATGGTGAAACACAATACTCTTTAACAACATTAACGAGAAGAAAGGATTTTGAGATTCTTTATCCTTGAAGCTCATCCTTGTTTACACAAGGGATTCACCCAAGTGGATGGCCTTCAAGTCACCTCCTAGCTACTTAGATCTTCCTTGTGATTTTCTTCCCTTTTGATGCTCTTTTGATCATTGAGGATGTGAGGAAAGGAACTCCAAAAGTACCAAAGGTTTGGTACCTCTAAGTCTCCACACCAAGGATGATGGTGTGAAGATGAAATGGATTACCTAGAGGAAGTTAGATGCTAGTAAACTCCCCTAGGAAGGCCGACCTCTATAAGGAAAAAAGAGAAAAAGTTTCTCTTCTTTGCCTTAAGAAAACCCTAGTGAGAGAATGGCTATAAAGATGCCTTTATACCACCTCACATGTGAGTGGCAAACTTGCAATTAACCCAAGTTTGCTACCACTCACCCTATGGCCAGTTTTGACTTTGTATTTGGGTTAATTTCTATTTAGTTTTCGTTGTCACACAACTTAAACTCATTGGCCCTTGTAGACCAAAACCCTTTTGGGCCTCGAGACCCGAAACTAACTTGAAAGCACAATACGAACCTTTCTTATAATTAATTAACTAATTAACTAATCTTGACCATTCTCAATTAAACCATTTAATTGCGTATCCATCACATTTATATTTCTTCACTTTCATCCTTACTCGGTGTACGATCCATTAGGTTCCAATTAGCGAGGTAGTGGGTGATTGCTACTCTTAACGATCGATTGTGAATTTAAACTACATTTCAATTCTCCCTTTGATGAAGATTAGTGTTTGCTAATCTTCAGGGCTTCCATAAACCATGAGTGACACCTAGCAGTATGTTATGGCCACCCAAGCTAAGTAGAAGTGGTTGGAGAACCTATACAGTAACAATTACAATGCAATACGGTCATTCTCTAATACAATAGTCTTAATCACATTGTTTGAGTGATAGTTTGTTTCATGTCTACTATCCAATGTGATATTGTTCTATATGATTTAATTGAATATGATTTGGAACAAATTTCCTAAGTCATATTCGTATGCTTTGGCTAAGGACTCCCGAATAATATCTCAGAGTATTCTCCCTCCACCATGGAAGGTTAGAGATCCCCTTGTTGTGCATTCATATACCTACATGACTAGATAGCTTGACCTCAACAATGTTGTGGACACTCTCGATGGAATACCTTTGACATGATCAAAGATCAATGACTTAACCATTAGACATCTATGATGCCTTAGGTCAAATTACTACTTTGCATATTGCAACTTATGAGTTCTTACATGACATATATGTTCGAACTCTCTTTTGATTGTTGTTCAGTGTAGTCAATTACCCTTCGAGCACCTATGTGTTTGTCTTATTGTCCAACATTAAATGACTTGAGACTAGTCATACTCACGCTTGAGTTAACATAACACATACTAACCTTAACGGATTGTCAATACCCAATTGGCAATCCTATGGCTTAGGAATGAACATATGAGAAAGGTCTTGTTAATCTAACTTACTTAGATCACTTCTCTCTTAGATTAAATACATCCCTTGGATTCCGTTATTGCTTAAACACATAATACAATAAATAGTGATTAACAATAAGTTTTGCCCTTCATTAAACATATAATAGTTTAAAACAATAAGTATTCCAAAAGCTATTACATCAAATGAGTGGCTTTGTGGGCATACTTCCAACAGTTTGCTACCTAATGTAACATAAATCGTATTAGATTGTTGATTTTTAAAACTACTTGATCGAGTCTTAAGTCAAATGGCACCACCCACTATTTTTGGCAAATCCACATCCCTCTAAATGGAATCAAAGAGTTATTTTGAACCCTTAGCGGGGTATGGGAGACTCACCATTACCAAGCCCACCTCATAATGATATGATGTTGGGTAGCAACAATAATGATGACAGGATAACGCTTTAGCCAATTACAACTCTTGTAATTACCCATCTAGTTTGGCCTCTAGAGAATGTGCCTCACAATGATATAATATTGGCACCATTGCACTTAGTTAAGTCATTCCCACCATGCTAGTTCTTGTAGGGGTTTAAGAATAGCCTCATAAGGATAGATGTTGGTCATCCTCGTTGCCTACCTCACCACATCATGTATGTATATGGACTCCTCCTGAGTGTAAGCATATACTTTGAACTTCCACATGATAGGGTGAAGCCCGTGTATTAGTTACAAACAATTGAACCCCCCCTAAGGTGGAAGGCCCAAGAAAAGATCTTCAAAGCATCTCTCGCTTACCAACTTAATATTCGTTTTGAGGGAGTAGTGTTGGGCTACATCAATTTCATTTTAATCTTATTAAAAGGACTTGGGCCTATCACAACCATTGGTCCAAGTTTATATGAATTAGTAGTATATAATACTCCCAATATTTTGATGAAACGAGCGAGACTATATGGAACTACTAACGCATGCATAGCATCCTCATATGGACTATATAGTCATCTTAGGTAGTAGGATGATTATGAACCGTTTGATTTGATCCAACACGAGCCTAGTGTTGGACCTTGGGTCTAAGGTGGGTAGTTGTTGATTTTAGTTAATCTAATTAAAGTGTTAGTTGGACCTAATTGTTCCAATTTGCATGCATTTGAACAAAAATGAATACTTGAAATAAAGAGAAGGGCATATGCCCTTTTACATCACATTTGAACTAATCAAATTACATTCAAATCTAAACTACTTAAGCCATCATTCATAATGTTAAGCGGCCAATCATATAGCTCAATTATTAAGGCCTTTGGTTCATAATCACCCAATTCTTAATCAATCACATTAACTAAGAAATCAACTTACACAATTGGTTTTTGGATTCATAAAATTGATTTATATATAACTAAACAAAATGAAAATTGTCACATCTCGGGCTTGACTCCACCCTAACACGATATTGTCCACTTTGGGCCCCGACCATGCCCTCACGGTTTTGTTTCTGGGAACTCACACGAGAACTTCCAGTGGGTCACCTATCTTGGGATTGCTCCCATGTGAACTCGCTTAACTTCAGAGTTCCCATGGAACCTGAAGCCAGTGGGTCACCCATCCTGGGATACTCTTGATCACATTGTTTAAGTGATAGTTTGTTTCATGTCTACTATCCAACGTGATACTTCTCTATATGATTCAATTGAATATGATTTAAAACATTCCTCCTAAGTCATATTCATATGCTTTGGCCAAAAACTCTTGAATCATATTTCAAAGTATTCTCCTTTCA